AGTAATTTGGGGAGATGCTCAACTTGCTTCCCACCCTGAGACACTGGCCCAGCCTGGCTGCAGCCGATGCTACTGCTTTTGCTGCCTCCATGGCCTGCCTGCTGCTCTCGCAGTGCCTTGCGCAGCACAATTAAATTTAGCACACTTCACAATGAGGGAGACAGCATCCCCTCCTCCTCCTGGAACCCATTACAATGCAGAGCATCAGCCACAGCCGGGCCAGGCCAGTGTCTCAGGGCGGAGAGCAAGTCGCGCATCTCCCCGAGTAACCAAGGGCCAAAAGCACGAAAAAGGGCCAAAAGAAGCACCTGAGAGATGAGGCAAGTACAAGGGCGCTTTGCTCCTGCTCTGGAATATGGAGCAAGTCTTTTTTTAAAAAGTTTTTTATTAATAATACAAATTAAAAACATTGGACATGGTGTGGCGTCTCCAGTTTAAACATTGTCGTCAAGTTTTACCTTATAATTAATACAATTCCTTATCTCTATACTAGTTTATACTATTTATCACATTTCAAACATGTAGATTCTTACATCTGTGAAAGTTACATCAATACCAAATTCGATCTTATCTAACACAGAAAACTTGCGTAAACACGTCTAAACATTCTACTCATCAATAATCATTTATCCCAGGGGTGAAATGCTCCCTGGTTCGGACTGAATCGCCCGATCCGGTAGCGATGGCGGTGGGTGGTTCGGAGAACCAGTAGCAAAAATCCCTGCGCCCCCTCCACCATGCCCAGCTGAGCTGCACGATCATCAGAGGCTTTTTTTTTTTTTGCTTTTAAAAGCATTTTTTCTACAACCTCTTCTGAAGAAAAAATGCTTTTAAAAGTTAAAAAAAAAAAGCCTCTGATGATCGCGCGGCTCAGCTGGGATCATCAGATGCTTTTCAAAGCATTTTTTTCTGCAACCTCTTGGCTGAAGAGGTGGTAAAAAAATGCTTTGAAAAGTCTCTGGCAACTCCCAGCTGAGTTGCCTGATCGGCAGAGAGGTATTTTTAAAATGCCTCTCTGACGATCTCAGCTGAGTTGCCTGATTGGCAGAGGCTTTTCAAAGCATTAGAAAAAATGCTTTGAAAAGTAAAAAAAAAAAAAAAAAAAGTTGGCCACACCCATCCAGTCACATTAAACCCCCCCATCAAGCCACGCCCACAGAACCGGTAGTAACAAATTTTACATTTCACCCCTGATTTATCCCAGCATTCCTCCTCCTGTCAAGCCAGTAATAAAATTTGTTCCAGATTTCATAATACTCTGTTTCATTCTTATCTTTAAGTTCCAGTCAGTCTGTCCATTTCCGCACAAATTAATATTTTAGCTAACACTTCTTCTTCTGTGGGGGTCTCTTTATTTTTCCATTTTTGTGCAAAAGCCAATCTTGCTGCTGTTAAAATATGTAACATTAGACAAATTGTACCCTTCTTGTAGTTGCCTTCTATGATGCCGACTATGGAGCAAGGCTTCATCCCCCACTGTAGCCGTTACCTTCTCAGGTCACGTGAGGAGTGACTAAGAGGGGAGGGTGAGGAGCGGGTGTCAACTTTGTTGCCTACAACACTGCAAAACATCTAACCACCTTATTAGCTCCTCTAGTTGGCAACACCACCCATCACATCAATAATTCACGGGATTTTGCCAGCAGGGTTTGGAAACTAAAACTGGACCTGGATATTAAAGAATTCAGCCCTACTAGGAGGCTTGACATACCAGGGCATAGACTGTGTTGCAGGAATTAGTTGTTTAACAGAGTGATAGCATGGGGGGTGGAACCTGTCTTGGTGTCAGGTTGTTTTGGTGTACAATGCCCTATAGCATTGTCTTGAGGAAAGAAGTTGAAACAGTTTATGTCCAGGATGTGAAGGGTCTGTTTCTTCTGTTCCAGCCTCTTTCTGGCTTGTGCATTGTATAGGTCCTCAATGGAGGGCAGACTGATTTCATTTTTTTCCCTGCAGTCTTAGCTGCCCATTGAAGTCTGTGTATGACTTGTTTGGTTGCTATGCCAAACCAAACAGTTATAGAGGTGCAAATGACAGTATAATTCCTTTGTAGAACTATATCAGCAGCTCCTTGGGCAATCTGAGCAGGCACAGGAGAACATTCCTTGTTGTGCTTTTTTTGATGATGTTTTTGATTTTAAGTCCTGAAATATTATAGAACCTAGAAACTTGAAGGACTCTACTGCTGATACTGTGTTATCTAATATTGTAAGAGGTGGTAGAGTAGGAGGCTTCTCCTAAAATCTATTATCATCTCTACAGTTTTGACTGTGTTCAGTTCAAGATTGTTCTGACTACATTACAGGGCCAGTTGTTCAACTTACTGTCTGTATGCAGATTTGTCTTTGTCTCAAATGATACCAATCACTGTTGTATCATTTGCAAACTTCAGTACTTTAACAGAGGGATCCTTTGAAATGCAGTTATTGGTATATAGAGAAAGAAGTAATGGAGAAAGTACACAGCCTTGGGGGCACCTATGATAATTGTACAGGTATCGGATGTGATTTTGCCTAGCTTCACCTGGTGCTTCCTATCTGTTAGAAAGCTTATAATCTGACTAGCTGAGTCAGTTTAGTGAGAAGAATATTTGAATGATGGTATTGAATAATGAGCTGAAGTCTACAAAAAGGACCCTTGCAACATAATATGTTGTAAAATGTAGTGCAGAGCCATAAACAGCATCATTTTTCGACCTATTTGCTCAATGGGCAAATTGCAATGAGTCTAACAAAGGATCCATGATAGTTTTCAGGTGGGCCACCACTAGCCTTTCAAAGGTTTTCATAACTACAACTGTCAGAGCGACTGGTCTGTAGTCATTCAGCTCCTTGATGGAGGGTTTCTAAGGCACTGGAATTATAGTAGAGTGTTTGAAGCAAAAAGAAACATAACACATCTGTAGAGATTTGTTAAACATACTGGTGAAGATAGGGGCCAATTGGTCAGCACAAATTTTCAAGCAAGGAGGAGTTACCTTGTCTGGGCCTGATGCTTTTCCAGGCTTTTGTTTGTGAAATAGACCTTGCACATCTTTTTCTGTGATCACCAGAGGTGGGGGCACCAGAGAGTTTTTATTTATTTATTTAGAAAATTTATATTGCTTCCTATTCGCACATGGTGACTCAAGGTGGCTTTGACAAATATAAAAACAGCATATATGTGTGTGTGTGTGTATGTATGTATAAATACATACACACACACATAACTAACAGAATAAAATAATAAAATAATTAATAAAATAATATAATAACACACACACACCTGGCAGCAACACATCACACAAACCATTTAATGGGCTCCATCCCGCTCTGGGTTCCCTAGGCCCGCTGGTAGAACCATGCCTTCAGCACCTTCCAGAAGAGTGTTAGAGTGAGAGCATTCTAATCTCTGGGGGAATGATGTCTCAAAGAGAGGGAGCCACAATGGAGAAGGCCCTTCTTCTGGGTCCCAGCAGGTGTATCTCCCTAGGAGATGGGACCCACAACATCCCTTGCCTCCCCACTCTAGTGGGTCAGGTAGATGTGACCAACAAGAGACCCTCAGATTAACTGGTCCCAAGCCATGAAGGGCTTTAAAGGTGACAACCAGCACCTTGAATTGCACCTGGAAGCAAATCAGCAACCAATGCTGCTCCTGCAGGAGAGGTGATACATGTGCACACCGAGGTCTGCACAAAACCATGTGGCCCACTGAATTTTGCACCAACTGAAGCTTCCAGATGCTCTTCAAGGGCAACATTGTACAGTGTGTTGCAATAGTCAAGATAGAAAGTGACTAGGGCATGAGTGACCGTGAATAAGGATTGTTGGTCCAGGAAAGGACATTACTGATGCACAACCCACAGTTGCGCAAAGGTCCTCCTGGCCATGACCGCCACCTGCTCTTCAAGCAGGAGTTGTGAATCCAAGAGAACCCCCAGATTACGCACAGGGTCTACTTGGTGTGGCAATTCTCTATGGGCCAAAGAACCTCAAACCCAGAGCCACTCAGTCTTGCCAGGGTTCAGTTTCAACCTTTTGCTCCCCATCCAGCCTCTAACAGTCTCCAGACACTGCAAGTGGGAGGACATGGCATCACTTAATTCACCATGGTGTCAGCCTTGGAAGCCATATTAGGCTGGAAGCTTCAATGCTGCCACCTCCTCATGTGTGGGAAAGTAGGAGGGGGGATTTAGGAGAGGGGAATTAGTAGACATAATAGCAGTCAAGCAGTCTTATCGGTCAAGGTCAGGGTGATCCAGCATCTGGAGGAGGAGGGTCAGGTGTTGGGTCAAGGTGGAATGGATGTTGATTGGAGCATGTGATCGATTGAGGAGAAAGGGGGTGGTCTTGGGAGCTTTGTATGACTGAAGGAAAGCCCGGGCTTTTCAGATTTGGGATTTCCCAGATGTGCCAGTTTACCTATTTCTAGTAAAGAGAACTTTGGAAAATGCCTGCTTCCATGTCTTTACTGGGATTCGGCGGTTTTCTGGAACGCTGACACATGGGCTGAGACATACAGCTGAGTATTATCAGCAAATTAATGATACCTCAATCCATGGTGACGGATGATCTTACCCGATGGCTTCATATAAATGTAGGACAGGAGCAGAGAGAGTACTGAGCCCCATGGGACCTTGCAAAGCAGTGGGCGAGGGCTGGATCTCTCCCTTCCTATCAATACTGACTGAGAGCGGCCATAGAGAAAGGAAGTGAAGCAGGATAGCACACACAAATTCCTCAGAGTGCCCCTTCAGGAGGACGTCAATCTCTTCCTTCCCCAGGAGGAGGCAGCTCACCTTAAAGAGGGTCGCTGGGCAATTATCTGCAAACACAATTAGTGTGGAGAAATATTTACACTTCGCCGCACAAAGCACCACAAGTTAGGCCTTAATAGCAACTCTTACCTGTGTTTGATCAAGTTCATCCTTTATTTATTTATTATTTATTTATTTATTAAATTTATATCCCGCCCTTCTCCCCGAAGGGACTCAGGGCGGTGAACAGCCAAGAATTAAAATAACATACGATATAAAAGTTAAAAATAAATTAAATTGTCAATTTCCTTCAGGATGAAAAGGAGGTTTGCTGTAGCCAGTGATGTCTTTAAGGGTTTTCCACACATTTGCTGGTTCATTTGTTGAGAGCTGATTCCTCAGCTTTTCAGAGTAGCTTTTTTTTTTTTTGCTGCTTTGATCTCCCTTATTAATACAAGTCCTTTTCTGTAGGCTTCCTTTTTGGCATGACGTAGCTGTTTGAGTTTAGCTGTGAACCAAGGTTTGTTGTTACTGTTTATTCACAGTTTTCTAGTTGGCACACACAGGTCTTCACAAAAACTGAATATGATGTCACAGTATCTGTGAGTTCATCCAAGTCTTCAGAGGTAGCTTCAAAAATATTCCAATCTGTAGAGTCAAGACAAGCCTGTAGTTTTAACTTTGCCTCCTCAATCTAAGACTTTCATTGATTTAATCATTGGTTTATGGTTTTATGCCTTTGTCTATAAGAGGTACAAGGTGAATCATACAGTGATAATTGTCCGATACTGCTTGTGGTGAAGACTGATAAGCATTATTTAATGTTGTGTAGCAGTGATCTAAAATATTATTGCCTCTAGTAAGATAGTTGTCATGCGGAATGTATTTTGGCAACTGTTGGCTTAAGTTAGTTATCACTGTTGAAATCTCCTACATAATGAGAAAGGAGTCTGGGTAGCTTTTTTTTAGCCCACAGAATCTGGTCAGCTAGACTCTGTAATTCATTTCTTATGCAAGCTTTGGGTGGAATGTATGAAACAGCCAGAATAAATGAAGAAAACTCTTCCTGGCAATAAAATGGTTTGCAATTGATAAATAATGTCTCTAAGTCCTTGTCATAAAATTTTTTCAGTGTAATTACATTTTTACACCATCAGTTGTTTATATAAAAGCAGAGACCTCCTCCCTTTTTTTACCAGATGTTTCTGCAATTCTATCTGCTCTCTGAATCTGAAATTCTGGAATTTGTAGGCAGCTATCATTAATTGAGCTGTTCAGCCATATTTCAATGAAGCAGAAGGCTGCTGAATTAGAAAAGTCTGCATTGTTTCTATTTAAGAGTGGGAGTTCATCTACCTTATTTACTAGTGAGCAAAGATTAGTTAAATGCAGACAGGGGAAGGGAGATTTGCTTACCCCATACTTCCTGAGCCTTTGTAATATGCTTCCTCCCTTGCCTCTTTTCCTGCTCCTTTTGTTCTTTTTCTGCTTCTTCATTTCCACCAGGCCAAAAGAGATAACTGCTGTTCCCTCAGTCAGAAGTTCCTCTGCATTTGAAAAGAAGGGAGGAATAGTCCCAGAAAGCTGTTTGTTATGTGAAGACCATTCTTTGATATTCAAAAGTTCAATTCTTGAATATGAAATTCTTAGAAAGATACAGAAAATAATAAAAAACATCAAAACTACAATAAAGCATTTTACTGAGGCTGCCTTCAGAGGTGCCATCTTGAGGTGACATTTATATTAAATCACATAAGTATGACAACAAATTCACTTGTATCAAAACTCATCCACTGGCATATTGTATTATTGGATATCAAAGTTGTTTTACTCAACGTCTTTGGGCAGGGCATGTAAAACCTTTATATCCGAAAGTGTATCAGCTTGGATAAATTAAACAGCCAAGTAGCTATCAGAATTTATGATTAAGATATTTATTGTAAAGCCAACTGTTTCAACAAAGATTCTTTAATACTAAATGCACATTAAATGCAAACACTGCCAATGTTTCTGATATGCTGAGTTCTCAGTTGTATTCTAGGTCTTTTAAAACTAGAATATTCTAAGTCTTTTAAAACTACTGTGTATTTGAATAGTTATAATTGCCTCTTATAGATATATTCAAAATTTCACTAATATATTTAGCTACTCAAACGTTTAGGAATTACAGGTAGCTTCAGAAACATAGTTGATCTTATATGAAATACCATTGTTTCCCATCAGCGTGCTTGGTTGAAAAGACATTTGAGAAAAATCTGGGAATCCTCATGGTTTTGGCTTTTGTCTACTGGAACCAAATGATAATATCTTAAATCTAAGGCAGACACAGAGTCAGATTTATTGCAAATTGATTAATACAACTCAGAAATATGCTACAGGCTATGTTAAAAATAGTATTTGTATAAAAGATGTGCACATACTAATTTCAAAAGCCAATTTTTTGCAAGAATCTAGCCTGTTGTCCAAAACATTTTAAGCAAATGACAAGTAGATAATGCAGAGAGCAAATCAGTGATAGAAAAGTCTGTTTTTCCCACCTTTTCTGCTCTTTTGTGTGCATTTTCAAAGTTTAATTTAAAGAAATATTAAAGGACACAACCATCAAATACAGAAATGTAAAGGGCATCTGAATATGCAATGCAATATAAATCCACATAAAGTGGAAGGTGCCAAAACTATAATAACTTTGAAGATTAAAGGTTCTGTAGCCAAAAGAATTGAAAATGCTCTAATGAAATATCATTTTTTACAGCCAAGCAATTGCTTACATATGACATGGAAAATACAGCTTTTTTTTTACTCAAATAAAATTGTAATTAATAAAAACAAGATAAAGATTTGGGGTAATTTGAAGGATAAATTACATAAAAAAGACACTTCCCCAAAAAGCTTGAGCCAAAGAGCCTGTTTTATCTGAAATTTTACAGTTACCTATGAGATGAAAATAGAGTGTAAAAAATCTAGTGTGAAATTAGGGACCATTAAATGTCAGAGCTGGACAAATACAATAGAGATAGAGAAAAAAATTACAAGAAGACACAAGGAAAATGATTGAGACTTAGCACTTGGGATTCAAGTCCTGAAGCAAAAAGAAGGGAAGGTAGGTAGGTAGGTAGGTAGGTAGGTAGGTAGGTAGGTAGGTAGGAAGGAAGGAAGGAAGGAAGGAAGGAAGGAAGGAAGGAAGGAAGGAAAAGAAACCAACCACAAAACCTCCTGAACAATTATTTATCCCAACATAATCATGTTACAGCATCAAGAAAGCATCAAGTTGAGTTTCTTTAGTGAAAGATGATTAATTCGTACTTGATTTGCAAGTAATCTTCTTGTTCACTACCAATGCATTTGTATTTCTAGTATTATGAAAAAAAATGTAATTGTAAATATAGTCCTCTAGATGGTTATATAGAAAAACAAAGTTGTCTTCCATTCACTGAAGCCACTAAGACATTGTTTCTAAGGTAGGTAGATATATCCAGGCCAGACATTTCCCATTAAATAAATTGTGGAAGCTAAAAGAAAAGTAACTTCACAATACGTTAGGCATGAAGTTAAAGTTAGAATAGCACAAAAATCACTCTTTTGAAACCACAGTTTTTTGTTCTATTTTACAAAATGGATGAGCTTTAGAGATAAGTACCTTGGACAAGAAACAGATTAATAGGAAAAAATGGTGTAATAACCTGAAATGGTGAGATATATGTTTGTAGCATACCAACCTGCCTGGAATTATTATAATTCTATCTTGTGACCATATCTCAGTAATTGAACAATCACAAGATAGTATTTACAAAAGACAGAACCAAGTGTCAGATAAAATCATAACACAATAATAGCCATGTTAGCCAGATCAAAATCTAATAGTAGAGCAGAAATCAATGATGTAACTATATTTATGATATTTGGAATATTTATCACATTTAAAGAAGTTTCTACCTTCCCTCTCACTGTATCAACATATGAACAAGAGTTCTGTTTTTTAAGATTCAAAAATTAAAAACTATTTTTATTATAGTTCATCTGAATTTCTGTAAAAGTTTAAAACAATATGCTAATAATTTATATATTTTTTTATAAATTCTCAATACATTTGTTTCATTAGTTTTACAACACATTACATGAGTTATGCATTCTGAGAATCCCTTATACCTAAAAATCATGATTTTAAACCTGAGCTCATTGATATCATTCATTTTAAATCTTCCTTTACTTCTGACTCAAGTTGCCCACATTTTGATTCATGTAACTTTTTCTTTCAAGAAGCGTAACTGTATTATGAATAATCCATTATATTATGTAACCATGAATAAATGCTTTGAACATTTCCCAAACAATCCTAAAGAAAAATGTCTGTTAGGAAAACAAGTCTATATTTTGTTGCTGTTTTTCAACAACAGCTGTTTGTTTCAGCAACAAAGTATTAAAACACAATTTTTCAATAATTTAATATTTTTAATCCAAACTTATTACAGTAGTGCTGGTTATAAACTAAAATAGATGTAAAAGGCAAACAAATTAGAGAGATTGACAGGAAGTGTAATGATTGCCTCTCCTTCCAATTTAAGAAAGTAAAAAACTCTTGAAACGTGGTCATTCAAAAGGAACCTTTTATTAAACAGAAGTGATAGCAACCCAGTTAAAGCAAGATCTGAATACCTTTAGGCAAGACAAGTAGGATTAAAGCAGTAGAGACCCCTCCCTTTAAGTCAGAATGCATATTTTAGCCAATACACAAGTGTGAAGATGTTTTCTTTACTAGTTTCCTTGAGAACCCTAACATACATGTATTCACACCATTGTCCTTTAAAGTGAAACAACCTACATGGCTATCATAAACATTCCTCCATGTTAAGAGGATCTCAGGGCTCTTTGGCGCCAGAATATAGGTTGTAAAATATCTGTTGACACAGGCAATGCTATTAAATCAAATCCAAGCCCCCCCCCCCTTCTCCCATTGATAGGCAGTATCACTCTTAGGGATCTGGCATGCTACCCTCCTTAGAAAATGAAAGGGTCCACCTGTAAAAAAGAAAACAAATATAAACAAAATTTTGTGATAGTATATTAACAAGGTTTGTTAGGGTATTGGGAGTGAAATTTTCTCAGTAAGGTTGGAGCCCTAACATGATGTTTAGCAACCCATTCATTGTGGGCAGATGGTAAATGTTTCCAAGTGACTAAGTCTTGGATTTTCCCTCTGTGGGTCCTAGAGTCAAGGATTTCCTTGATTTCAAACTGTTGTTCACCTTCAATCATGATGGGAACAGATGATGTAGATGCAGGTGGTTTGAGGGATGAGATTACTTCTCGCTTGACTAAACTGATACGGAATACTAGGTGGACTTGCCTGACTGTCTTTGGAAGGAGTAGTTCAACCAATGAAATTTGGCCCTAGTTTCATCGATGGTTGTAATGATTTCAGGAATTTTGTAGGTAAGTATACTCTGTCTCCAACATGAAAAGGTTTGGGTTCCATCCTTTTCTTGTCAGCTTGAATTTTAAAAGCCTCTCTAGGTTCCTTTAAGGCTAATCTAACCACTGGCCATGTGTTTTGAAAATTATCCATCCACTCCTTAAGTGAGGGGATGGTGGGTTCTTCTGTGGGTAGTTCAGGCATGGGACTGAAATCCTGGCCTGTCACTACTCTAAAAGGGGTAAAACCAGTGCTTGAATGTACAGCATTATTAAATGCAACTTCAGCAAAAGGCAAAAGTTATCCTGTTGAAAATTAATAAAACATCTTAGATATTGTTCTAGCACCGAGATTAAAATTTCAGAATTTCCATTAGTAGACGGGTGGTGGGAGGAGCTCAACTCCTGGCCAGTACCAAGTAAGTCCAAAAATGTCCTCCAAAATTTGGAGGTGAATTGAACCCCTGTCGGAGATGATCCTTTGTGGAGCTCCATGAAGTCGATAAATGTGTATTAGGAATAATTTGGCTAAACTTTTAGCAGTTGGGATCTTTTGGCAAGGTATAAAATGTGCCTGTTTTGAAAACAGGTCTGTCACGACCCAAATAACAGTATTTCCCTCACTATTTGGCAATTCTACGATGAAATCCATAGCAATCTCTCTCTATAGCACTGAAGGCTCAGCTACCTTCTGCAATAGACCTGGGGTTTTCCCCTGACGACTTTTTGCTGCTGCACAAATGGGGCAGCTAGCTATGTCCTTTTTTAGTGATGGCCACCAAAATTGTCTTTTAATCAGGTGTAAAGTTTTCACAAACCCAAAATGTTCAGCTAATTTGGAGTCTTGGCACCTTACCATTAAGCATAGTCTTTGGCTGGCTGGAACATACAACTTCCCTCCCACCCAAGCCAAGTCTTCTTTCATCAGACAGCTGGATTTATGGTTCAAAAACCATTCATTGGTGGCCAATGCTTGTTTAAAAGTTTGGGTGGTGTCATTGTCCGTCAATGTTTCTTGTTTTGCCTGGGATCTGGTGATTACTTTAGTGGCTAGTTGATTGTTTTGTACTATGGGTTGATTACGTCTGACTTCGCACTATTGTATTGTGGTTTTCTGGATTGCGCATCTGCCAGAAAG